CCTTGACTGTCCTGGATCTCACTCTGTAGCCCAGGCTGGCCTCGAACTCACAGAGATCCGCCTGGCTCTGCCTCCCAAGTGCTGGGATTAAAGACACCGCCGCCCGGCTGTCTCCCCTTTTTAACTCACACTTTCCTTGTGCTGACGTTTTCCTTTCACTGAAGGAAGGTCCTTTTTCTCTGTCCTGTGATCTGACTGCTTATCTTTCCACCGAGATTTTAGATTTTTTTTTTCTTTTAGGACTGAAGGCTGGTGAGAAAATCAGCAGTATAAAATGGCGGTGTTTCTACAGTTTGCCATTTGTATTTTTTTAAAGGTTTTTTTTTTTTTTTAATTATGTGTCTGTGCACATGTGTGAAGGTGCCCATGGAGGCCAGAGGAGGGCGTGGGATCCCTGGAGTTAGAGTTCAAGCAGTTGTAAGCCATCTGCCATGGTGCTGGGAACTGAATTCAGATCCTCTGCGAGAGTCTAGTGCACATCTTTCCCCATTGAGCCATCTCTTAGGTCTCCTGTATTTTGGTTTTCCGGCAGGCAAACACATTCAAACAATTCTAAGCGTGGTTAAATTTGATGATGTTATATTCAAAAACTTGTGTTTTGAACTGTTGATTTTTGAGAGCGGAATATATGTTGGTAGCTTCTCACCTATTGCACACAAAAAGCCTCCATAAGCTGTCCCGGGTGCTCACCCCACCATGGTTTTGGATATATATGGGCCTGCACTCTTAGCCCAGGACCCTTGGTCTCATCCGGGCCTTTCTGTTTCCCAGTGATCAGGTGGAAACCCCAGGAAACCTTCAACCAGACCCAGGCCAGCTCCCTCCTGCGTGACCCTGTGGAGGAAAGGAACGGCACCAATTGTACCAGGACCCTGAGGCTGCCAGATGCGACCAGTGCCGCCTGGTACATCCTCACCATCATCGGCATCTTTGGTGTGATCTTCGTCTTCCAGCTGGCCAGCAACATCCTCAGGAAGACTGAGAGGCCCTTGGAGGACGTTTATTATTCCAACTTAACTTCTGAACTCAAAAGGGAAGGGTTTCAGAGCAAGGTGGCTGAGTGCTCACTGATCATCAGCAATACAGCAGCCCTCCAGCCTCATCAAGATGGCCTGGACCCAAGAGGGGAAGAAGACGGGATCCACATGGGAACCCAGGGGGTCCCCTGAAAGCCAAGGCCGACAGACCACCATTGGAGGCCTCAGCTGTTTTACAGGTAGAGAAGTTTGGGGTCTGCCGGGGATCTTGAGAAAGGAACTGAGCCCTGGATTAGGGCACGGTGAGCGTCTCTGGCCATGGACACTTCTGAGTGTGAACAGTCACCAGCAGCTTATATCTTAGTTTTTCTGGTCTAAGAAGAAGGAACAATAGAAGCCATAGGTCAGAGGGGGACTCAGGGTTCTCGGGGTGATTCAGGATACTCCTGAGGGCAAAGGGGGGGGGCTTCTTGTCATGGGATGAAGGCTGAACGTGGAGTCAAATGCTTGGGATTAACAATCAACTTCTAGGGGTCGTATACATTTCTGAGTGGCAGTTGATCACCTGGAACATGTAGGAGTTGGAATTGTCACCAATGGTGACTTTGTTTTAAAGACTTACTCCATTGACTTTAGGACCAAAGTTGTTCGTAGCAGAAGCTAATCAGTCAGTCTTCATTTTCTCTGGAAGAGTGGGCGCACTGAACAAAGAATTAATTTTGGACTCAGGAACTCCAGACTCTGGTCTTTGACGTCTGAGGACCTATGACTGAACTTCTCCGAAACTTAGTTTACGGTCACCTGAGGAGGATGGTGCCAGGGCTGCCAGCCTTGCCACAGAGGCAGGCGCTAGGGAGATCCTGCATGGGATGATGTTTCGAAATGCAAAATGCACACAGAGAGGCGTGTTGTGGTGGAGGAGATGATGGTGGAGACGGCGGTGGACATGGCGGTGGAGACGGCGGTGGACACCAAATGGGCAGAGCCAGTGCTCTGGTTGGCGGCAGCAGCGATGGCAATGATGGTGTTGATGGTTTTAGTACTCGGGGTTTCTCAGAATTCACCAAGTCCCCTTTTACCTCTTGGATTAGGTTCTAGTTAGCACTCAGATGAACTTAATTACTGCATTTCCGTACATCACTATACTATGTTCTCACTGATGCCCTCCCAGCCCCTGCTCTTCTCTACTGACCCCTTCCTGTTTCCAAATGGTGTCCCTTTCATGTCACACATTGTCACCTTCTCTTGCTCCCTTTAGACCTCTGCATCCTCCCTCATAGTTTTCTATTTTCCTGTGTGTAAATGCACGTACACACAACCCCCCTGCACACATGTATAATTCAATCTATCTCTACACAGATCTCTCTCTCTCTCTCTCTCTCTCTCTCTCTCTCTATATATATATATATATATATATATATATATATATGTAAAGATATCTGTGGTGTATTTGTACACACACACACACACACACACACACACACACACACACACACACACACCTTCTCAGAGGAGTAGTGGGGAGGCCGGCAACCCTGGCCAGCAGTTAGGGGTGTGATGGAGCGGAGAGTTGCAGAGGTTCCCTCCAAGAGCATCGCAGGGCCCCGGCCTTGAATAAATGCCTACAGAGCAAGGAGTCAGAGCAGATCACATTTCTCTGTGTAGTTCATAGCATATGGACACCTGGTCAACCAGACTCTCCCAAGCCTGGCAGGGTAACAACACTGTGGGACTGCCGAGACTCTTGTGCAAGATATGGACTCTGTGAGGAGAGCACACATGAGATACATACAAATTACAACAGGATTAAGAGAGCTGATTGGTGTACCATAGGACAGGTCAAAAAAAGATACACATGTCTACATTCATACTGTAAGTAGACACTCCTGACACTCCTGAAAACTCAATACAGTGAAAGCAGTCAGTAATGGTCATCTGTCAAGCCTGCCAAACCATGTGCGCACAAAGCCTGGACCTCTTTGGAGAATATTAACACTGTCACTTGTCAGGAGGGAGCTGTCTGAGCCACAGCTGTATCCCTCCTGGCTCGTAAAACGTGTCATCACCTTCCACACAAGCGACCACCAGTTTGTTGAGGCGTGGACCAGTCTCATCAGTACATAGGCAGCAGGGAGCTGCCTTCTCTCCAAGCCTGGTGGGTAATTTGTCCCACAGCCTCTACTTTCGAATACACTTCACACGGAGCACGCTGGAAAGCTTAATTAGCAGAAACACACGTAAAGCAGAGGCCCGAGGTCGATCCCACACTTTGCCTCTCACTGGGCCCAGACAAAATTTCTGTCAAGGGTGAAACTGATCTGCCCCCAGAGGGTCAGGACCAAGGCTGGCCCCTCTCAGAACCCAAGTCCCCAGGGGTACAAGAAAGAACCAAAGTTTATAAGGTCTTGGAGGACACAGGCCATCTTGCTTAGTTCTGCACAGCTGTGACCAAAACACCTGGAAAGAACAACTTAAAGAAGAGAAGATGAATTTGGATTCCGGTTGCAGAGTTCAGCCAGGGTTGCTTGTTTCTAGGCACTTGGACAGAACATCATGGTGTGAGCCTGTGAGCCGAACCTAACCCTCCCCTCATTGCTGGAGCCCATGAGGGTACATCTTCCCCTCACAGCAGGTATGATGCACAGAGAGGAGAGAGGAGAGAAAGAGTGAGAGAGGGGAGAGAGAGAGAGAGAGAGAGAGAGAGAGAGAGAGAGAGAGAGAGAGAGAGAGAGAGAGAGAGAGAGAGAGAGAGAGAGAGAGAGAAGGGATTGGAAACTAGGCAAACTCTTCAGAGGCACACCTCCTGGGACCCACTTCCTCCAATCATGCTCAACCCCCCAAAGTTTACACCATGTCCAAAACTGTGCCATCATCTAGTGACAAAATTTATAAAATATGAGTCTGTGTGTATGTGGGGACACTTTACACACAAACCTCAATACAGACACACCTGGGACCCAGCAGTGGCCATGATGGAATTTGTTGTTTGGTCTAAGGCTGTAGTAGGACAGGCCCGTAGGGTTGAGGAAATTGGCTCAAAACCAGTTGCCCAGGCATGTACATAACTACTTCCTTATGAGGCAACCTGGAGTCTGCCTGAGGGCCTAGCAACAGGGGCTGTCAGAGTTCCTGATTGTGCATCCAGTGAGGGATGACCACACAAGGCTGCCAGGTTGGGACATAGCCTAGGTGCTGGGAGGAGGGTATATAAGGCTTTCCTTGTTACTGAATAAATGAGTCTGCTGTTTGCCTTCAACTGATTCCCCATGTCTGTGTCATTGATGCCACACCTTCTCACCCCTCCCCCTCCCTCCAAGGGAGCCATTAGGATCCAGCAACATCAGGCCAGAGCAGGAGTTGGTAGGGATGCTTCTAGGGGGATACCGAACACATGGGCCAAAAGGGTTCTGTCGGAAAGGTACAGGGGCCATTAAATCCATGTTGGCAACCATCGAACCTTTAAGGTACAGTGGAGGGAGGGATCTAGTTTAAAGGATCTTACGCAGTGCTGGTGCATTTCCACACACCAGCCTTGGCCACCCTCTCACCGACTCCAGGGGTCCAGGAAGCTGAGGCCCAGAGGAGCTGAGAGATGTGTACACTGTCACACAGTCAACACAAGTCTCGGGGCTGATCTAGCAGACTTTGAAGCCCTGTGATGTTTCCATTACGTGGGCCCTAGTTTGCTTTGTTATTAGAACAAACATGACCAATGCAACTTGGAGGACACACTGTGACACTTCTGGGTGACAGTCCATCACTGAGGAAAGTCAGGGGAGGCACTCAAGTGGGAGCTGCAGCAGGGACCACAGAGGAGCCCTGCTTACCAGCCCCGCTCCCTGGCGCACACGCATCTAGCTTACTTACACAGCCCAGACCCCACCTTTTAGGGATGGTGCCGCCCACAGTGGGCTGGGCCCTCCCGCTGCAATTATCAATCAAGACAGTCCCTCACAGCCCTGGACACGGGCTAGTCGGATCTGGACAGTCTCTCAGAGGACCCTATTCTAGGCCTGTCTTTGAAAGCGAAAGCTAACTAGGACACATTTTTGTCCCCCAAACCGTTCTCCCTCCAGGCGGGGAGTAAGGAGACTGGCATCATTGGACTGGTAGTCCACAGTTCAGAGTGGGGGTTGGGTGAGGAGAGCAACGTCCGTCCCGTTCTGTCACTTCGGTCTGAATTCTCTCCTGGAAGGCTCTGGAATGGCGGCAGCATTTTAAGTTCACTAGTCAGTCATTGTGTGGCTATGGAAAGTCAACGAAGTCTTTCTTCTCTTTTTGTTTCTAGAAGATGGGCCATCACTATTAGGAAGGAGGGCCCCAAGAGGCCCGGCTCCCTGTGGTCCAACTCAGGCAGAGCCCAGCAGACTCTGCGCTGAACACAGCTCAGTTCACTTCTTCCTGATGACATGGGAACACTGCCGGGAGTTGGGGGCCGTGGGCCAAGCTCAGGCTTGCCGTGGCGGCCTGGTAAAACACCCCGGACCATTACATGCTCTAGCCTGGAAGGTATCATCACGTTATGACATCACCTCCACCCCCCTCACCAGGCACGCTTCTCCCGGGCCCGAGGCAGGGAAGTACCATTCCCCATGCCCCGCACACACACTTGGGAAGCCCAGAGACCTAAACAACAAAGAGAACTAGTGGCTACAACAAGCTTGAACCAGACTAGAGGTTCTCCATCCACATTCCATAGAGGTTCCTTGGGGCTCCTGTGAGCATTAGGGGAGACTAAATCACATTCTTTACCTTTTCATTTACACGAAGCCAAACCACCTCTGTATCTGAATGTCTATGTATCAATTTGAATGAGGAAAAACTTGGTTATTTTTCTTTCAAAACTAACCCGAGTGCCAGGAACTGTAGCCGCCTGCTCCCTAGAGTCCCTGCCAGTCCCTGAGAAGACCCTATTCTAAACGACAGGGCTTCCCGTCTGAAGGTCACTTGGAGGCCAGTAAGAGCTCATGCTCAGGTCAGAGTGCACCTAGAATCTCTAACCCCAGGCTACCCCAGGGGATGCTGCTCCTGGCAGGGTCTGGAGGAACCCTCTGCCCCTTGCTCTCCTCCATTGAGATCTCAGAGAAGCTTGATGAGGGAGTTTTTGTCTTTACTGAACAGGGAGCCAAGGAGGCTGAAGAGAATTTGTTCATCACCCACACTAATGCTTCCAGTCCCTTCCTAGGACAGACAACTGGGAACACCATGGGAAGCGGGCCAAGGGAGGGCGGGCTGCAGGCTGAGGACGGCGTCCTCACACTACGGGTTGGCTGACAGGAAGCTCATGAGAGCTGGATGTGCCCCAGCAGGCTAAGGTACTTATAGTCCCACATGCCTACACATACATGTACACATTGTGTGTGTGTGTGTGTGTGTGTGTGTGTGTGTGTATACTCACCCACACACACATAGACATGTACTCACAAACGTAAATACATACCCACATATGTGCATTTACACATGTGTATAATCTATCATACACACCACACACACATCCTCACACACATGCACACTCCCATGCCCTTCTTGGCTCATAAGAAAAGGAAGATCAAATCTCGGGTGGATGAGCCTGAGCTCCTACTGGGTCCAGCTCTCCCGTTCTCTGTGTAACATCAGGCGGGGGTCCTGAAGATGCGAAGATGCTCCTTGTCCTGGCCAACGATCCTCAGGCTGGAAAGCACACTTTTTAAACTAATGTTTTCTTTAAAGGATTTCTTTTTAAAATGTTGTCTGTAGAAAGAAAAAAGAAAAAAAGTGACCGAGGAGTCTTTCCTCGGCCGAGAAGAGAAGGGAGGGCACCTGCCCCCCTGTTTGCTTTGTAACTGGGGTGATGGTGTTTATTGCAATAACATGGGTCACAGGGACTGATTAACAGATAGTAGATAAAGGGGCCAGAGCCATGCCCAGGACTAATGTGCCCCAAAACATTGTTTCCCAGTCACGAACAGCAGGCCTACATGGTGATCTCATATAGCAGAGCAACTTCTCATTGGAAGTGCTCCCCAGGAGCACATTTGGGGAGACTGGAAAAGATCCAGCAGTCAGTCAGTCAGTCAGTCAGACAGACAGACAGACACACCACACACACACACACACACACACACACACACACACAGGCAGGGCTGTCTACTGAATTATAAGTTTGGCTTGTCCTCAGGACCTCTTCCTTCTTGTCACAAGCCAGACCCACAGGGGTAGGATCATGCCATCGAGGGAGCCAGGCGAGGGCAGGTGTCCTCCAGTTTGTGATCAGAAGAGGCTCTTGGGTTAGGAAACCTGTAAGGTCCCCTGAAGGTGCCTTGTAAGGGGCTGTGGCGGTGGGGCTGGGTCAGCTGGAGCTGGCTCGGAGAGTCCCAGCCCAGCCGACTCCAGTGCCTGGGCAGTGAGCCGCAAAGGCTTGGACCTGAGCAGGCCCCGGGGGTGACCTCACTGCCCTGCTACCCCTGGGGGCCCCGACAGTGCACAGCCCAGTGTGATTTGACTGAAATCAGTGAGTGGAGTGGCTTCCAAACAGTGTGCTGTGCTGTGCCACGCTAGCCACAGTGCACATCTGTTGATAATCACAGTGGGCTGTGAGGTGCCACACTAGCCACAGTGCACATCTGTTGATAGTCACCGTGGGCTGTGCTGTGCCACACTAGCCACAGTGCACATCTGTTGATAGTGACAGTGAGCTGTGAGGTGCCACGCTAGCCACAGTGCACATCTGTTGATAGTGACAGTGAGCTGTGCTGTGCCACGCTAGCCACAGTGCACATCTGTTGGTAGTCACTGTGAGCTGTGCTGTGCCACGCTAGCCACAGTGCACATCTGTTG